TCGTCGAAGTTATAGATATCCGCCTCTTGGATACCATATTTCGCAATTGTATTTCGTACGAGGGTAAACCACGCGCGATACGCGTCAGGATCTTCGCAATAGGCTCGTTGGTAGTCGGTTCTTCGATTAAAACGCGTCCGAAGGTCTGGTTGTCGTCGTACGAAGCTCGAGGCCCAGTTGACGCCGACGCGTCCAGCGCCACGGTCACGGAGCAGTCGGTTAGCTATAGCTTCAACACCATGGAGCCGGGGAGGAAATGATCGCGAATCTAGGTCAAGTATGTATTGTACGACCGCTAACTCTTCTGATTCCGTAAGCTTATGACTAGATTGTCGAGTATCGCGTCGAGATAGTGAAACGGGGTCAGGCGGTCAGTAGGATATACCTACCACCTAACAAACTGAACAGACGGCTCCAGTACCAACATATCCCATCTGGTGGTCTTATCAGACGAAGATCGTGGTACTGGTTGTAAGAGTGAAGCTCTTATACGTCTGGTGCGCGAGTTGGTCGGATGTGCCTCTGATACTCGTATCGTGATAATAGGATCTCGAACGTCAAGATAAGCTGAATAACTAAAATAACTAAAAGCGGTCGAGTGGTGGCTCTTGTGGCCGTCGAGAATTAAGAGGCGATAAACACCTTTCGTACGAAGCTTTGTATGTTGATCGAAATGTCGAATCCAGTCCTCGCCTCTTTCATTTGTAGTCCAGCCCTTTTTCGTAACCGCGATAACCCAATCCTTTAGTAGTAGGCTATTTTCGTACCACGAAGATAGGTGAGTTTTACCAGCAAAGATGATATACTGAGGGATAGTATAGCCGTCCGATCCGACGCCCTGGATAACTGTAACCCATTCCCTATTCCCTTGCTGTACTGCTCTAGGTCTTCCACGTCGATCAGAGGTCGTTACAACTATCTCGGATGAGATTTGACCCATAAGAAACCCAGTCTCGTCAAAATTATAGATATCCTCCTCTTGAATTCTATGCTTATTAATTGTAGTCGGCTGGTGTAACGGGGTCAGGCGGTCGGTAGGATGTACCTATCACCTAACACACTGAACAGACGGCTCCAGTACCAATAGATCACATCTGTTGGTCTGATCAGACGGAGATCATGGTGCTGGCCGTAAGAGCGAAGCTCTTATAAGTCTTGTGCGCAAGTTGGTCGGATGTGCCTCTGAGACTCTCGTGTCGGGATAATTCTCAGAATAGGACGTCTGGCTCCTAGGAGTCGAATTGAAGCTGTCTCTAGTACTAGATTGCTCTGATCAGAGCAAGACACAATGTCTCATAGTTGTCAAGGCTAAAATGGAAAGGATAGATGGATTCTTAGAAGCTATCCCTTGAACGTGTAAGTGAATCATGAACTGAAGCTTCTGAATTGCATGCATTGAAAAGAGTGCGATGATGGCTGACTATTGCTTGTCGAATCGAAAAGATGAAGAAGCCATTAAAAAGGGTCCGTCCTCGAAAAGAAAGTTGCAGCCACAAGCCTCCTTCATCAAAGCAAAAGATCCTCCCCATTCCGTCACCTATTTTCCCTGGCGTCCGGCCTTACCCCGCTACAGTACTTGTAGAGGTACCGAGGGTTAACACCTACGGCGTATTTAATAATAATAAATACGCCGTAGGCTCGAAGCCCCCGGTACCTCTACAAGTGCTCCCGTATGTCAAACCGTGCCCTAATGGCTGGACTAAATACATACGCTGCTACGTAGGTTCGCTCTATTAGCGACTGCGTTACGTCCACCACAATACTATGTTAGTTCTCACCCTACTAACAGAGTCCCCCTGAGAAGATCGATATTATCCGGGCCTAAGCGCTATCCGGCCATCCGGGTCTGGGAAGAACCTCTCAGCTAGTAGCTTTGACTTCTCGTCGTGGGTGCGCGCTGTGGGTGCATCGCTTGCGTTCCGTCGAAGATCCGGCATCCCATGGGTGTCAGGGGGTGTCCAGCTCCGCAGCCTAGCCCATCTCTGTAGTGCCCAAAGGCTTTTATGATCCTTCGCCGTCCTCTCGAGTTTTTCATGCCAGCTCCGCGCCTGTGCCTCGCTGATTTCGAGCCGTTGTTTTTGGTTAGCTCTTAAGTATTCGTCCCAGTTAGTCTGCGACCTCGCGTGGAGGTAATCTCGTCGTCGCCTCTTCGTCTCAGCGCAAGCCTTGCTGACCTGGGGGCACCACCACGGGGTCCCGGCGCCTCTACCAACAGTACGCCTAGGGGCCGCTACGTCGGCGATCTCTTGGAGGTTTTGGATGACCCAATCGACCGCCTGGTCTAGCTCTGTTCTCGTCTCAACCGGCAAATAGTTCATGAATCTCTGGCCCGACTCGGCTACGATTAGCCACTTATCTGCCATCGTCCAATTCCACCCCTCGGTGTTACGGCGGCCTTCATTCGCTGCCTCCTCGTTAGATATTACCCTGATTACTTGCGCCCTATGGTCCGATCCCTCTAGGCCCGGGTCCCCTTCGTAGTCTATTACGGTCCCCTTCGTCGCCCATGCAAGGTCGATAGTTGAGTCCCTTTGTCTGTGTCTTTGCCGTGTAATTTCCCCGAAAGGTGTGGCGAGTTCTAATTACCACCGTCGCGCCAACTCTACCACATTCTCGCTACCCCGTGACGATCGTCCGTGTATGTCCCACAACGGGTGATGTGTATTGAAGTCCCCTACGAGGACCTGCTTCCCTTCCGGGGCCTCACTAGGGAGGTCCCGGAGCGGGCTAATCCAGCGGCTTCCGGACTGGTTTGGTGAATAGATAGACCAGATGGTAAGGGCATCCGGGCCTGTTCCGAATGTGATACTGCTCCAGTCGGTACCCGTTCGGGGTCGTAGCGAGGCTACATCGTAGCGTTTATGGACGTATAGCGCGGCTCGGCCGCTACTATAGACTGCCTCGTATCTAGACGACCTTGGGCAGTAGATTGACTTCGTCTGTCGATTAATCCATGGCTCTTGTACCGCTATTATATCGTGATCGCCTCCCTTCTCAATCGCTAGCGCTGCGTTCGCTTTTGAATCCGCAATATTCCAGTAGAGAATGGAGACTACCATTACGCTGCCGGTGGTATTTCTTTGTTCGTGCATCCCTTAGTAAGGAAGCTTCGCATTGCTGACGCTGAGCGCTCGGTCCGCACTTGCTCCGCCCGTGATCCGCCTGGAGGGCGGCCCCGGGGTCGTACGATCGTAAACCCATCGCTAGTTAACGAGCTAGGTGGAGTGGGCCTGCCTTCGCTAGACAGCCCGTCCGAGTAGCTACGGACCTCAAACTGCCGGGGGCGGTGGGCGTACGCTTCGCGTACGCGTAGTCGCTGTTGTTCCGCCGTCGGACAGACTCTGTCCCACGCTGCGTGTTTCCCATTACAGTTTACGCAGTGTTTTCTGCCGCTTGAGGCCTTCTCGGGGCAGTCTTTTTCGCCCCCTGGGTGTGCCGTCGCGGCGCATATACCGCAACGTCTCGTCTTTTTACAGTGCTTCGCTATGTGGCCATATTCGTAGCACTGGTAGCACTGTCGGACCCGGAGATTGCCGTCGTACGGCTCACAGTCGAATATCTGGGCCTCCCATATAAGTCCCTCAGAGCACAGCTCCATCGCCGCCTCGACGCTATCCACGTGTAGTATCAGAGCCGCGTATGGTGCCTGGGGCGTCCGGGGGAGGTTTCTTTTAGCCCTAGAGAGGTGCTTCGTATTATCTCGCTTTAGGTCCTTGAGTAGTTGGTTCTCATCATGGACCTCTCGTAAACGTTTCGCAGGTAGGCCTTTTGCGATAACTGCAACTTCCCTGTAACTACAATAGGGACTAAACACCTTAACGGCGTATTTAATATTATTTATTAATTGTATTCCGTACGAGATAAAACCACGCGCGGTACGCGTCGGGATCTTCGCAGAGGACTCTCTGGTAGTCAATTCTTCGATTAAAACGCGTCCGGAGGTCTGGTTGTCGTCGTACGAAGCTCGAAGCCCAGTTAATACCGACGCGTCCTGCGTCGCGTTGGTGGAGTAGTCGATTCGCCATATCTTCAACGCCACTTATTCGAGGAGGAAATGATCGTGAATCTAGGTCGACTATGTAGCGTACGATCGCGTCTTCTTCGGAATAGGTAAGCTTTTGCGTTGGTGATCGTATATCCTGTCGTGAAGTACCGCCGCGATATCGGTGACGTAAGGTTGTATGAGGGATATTATAGATCCGTGCTACGGATCGTACGCTTAGTTTGGGGTTATTTTGAAGCGCTTGAAGCGCTAATTGAATATCGCTTTCTTCCCAATTACGTGCCATTGTAGAAGGTGGAAAATAAGGGATAAAACCTAGGTTGTACGGAAATGCGCGAAAGTGTTCAATTGGATCGTGGGGTACGTTAGACCTATCTCTTTTAGGATTAGCATATGTGGGGCATATGCGACACCACACTGATCAAGCGATTTCGGAACGCTCTACTATGGTATCACGGGTAAGTTTTCAATTGTGTGTTTGTACCGTGCTCCACCTAGGCACGAGCCAACTCTTAGCTACCTGGCTTGAAGCGACCTTAACAGCTGTCTTAATCAGATTAAAAGAAAACGTTGTAGCAGTTTGAATTTCGGCTTTCGATTTACCACCGTCGAAATGGAGGGTTCGAATTCGTTAGCGATCTGCTTCTGTAAGGTGTTTAGTCCCTATTGTAGTTGCTACATACGCGATAATTAGGACGCGTTAACAGCAAGTTGGAACCAGAGGTGGAAGTACCTTTTCGTTAGTATGAATAGGCTAGGTAAGAATCGGTAAGAATCAGTATAGCGTTACCTTGGCAGTGGTCCACTAGTACTTGTCAAGGGGGTGAAAACTTTGGCCTGATACCGTAGCACGCTCGTAGACCTTTCCAGCGCCGCGGAAGGTGACTTTCCGCGACATAACTCCACACGTACGTCCGCACAAGGCAACCCGAATGTATGTGCCCCACACAGTTCGCGTTCCAGCCCCGCCTCCGCATCATCTTACCTTACAGGGGCCGCCCTGTCGAATCATCTCACGACAGCATCTAATCTTCTTTTGCTGCGATTCGTCTCGTCTTTCAATCATATTCTTATACTCAATCGCCTGGAAGGTCCCAATGGCACCTCCAATGACCCCCAATCTTGGACCTCTCTACAGAACCCTCTACCCTATCAAAACCCCAGACCGGACCATTCAGCGAAAGTCTCACCCCCTCCGCGTTCTCGCCCTCGGCCTCTCCCGCTCCGGAACTGATTCCCTGCGCACCGCCTTAGGGACTCTCGGTTATGAAAATGTATATCACGGATACGTGATCCCCTTCGCTCAGCGCACCGATCCCGCCATCTGGTGTCCCCTCATGCAGCGCAAATATGCAGGCACCTTCACCGCCGCCAAGCTTAGCTGTCAGAGAACAGAATGCCATAGGCACCAGTGGGTGTCAGGACACTGAACGCAGGACACCGGCGGGCCGCCGGAGGGGTGTTTCGGACAAAAGACTCCCGAATCATGATTACAATCTATGTGAAGCTTTGGGATGACGAGAGTCAAGATCCTTGGCATCGCCGACCCTGCTGTTATGCCGGGTCCAAGCGGCGGCCTAGCTATCTATATAAGGACCATCTCGAAGTAGGATAGGGAAGGAGTTGTCAGAGCCACAAGTGTCATCCGAGGCGGGCCGGCTTCCACCAGGTAGGAAGCCGTTTGTGGCGGCTAGAGAGCCGCTTGTGGCGAATGAGAGCCGTTGAAGCCGTTTGCAGCGGATAGGGAATCGCTTGGTTGCAGATAAGGAGCCGCTGTCCAAGATATTGGCCGAAGTCGGAGGAACACAGACATACGGAAGCAAACATCCAGAATCCAAGAGAGAACCTCGGCTGGCTATAAGTAAGGAGTCGAGACGGAGGAAGATAGAGAGGGCAGAGATCAATGCATCACCGTGGGCACCCCTACCTGAGACCGCCAGTGACCACCCGGTATTACGTAGAAGGGACGCCCGTTACTCCCCATCACTCTGTACTATTGCCTTCGGCCTAGCCGTACCCTGACACTGGGCCCCTGGACGAACACAGGGACACCCTAGTATGGGTGTCCCACCTGTACGCGCTGCCCTTTTCCTTATAATGTAGGAAAGGGCACTTGCACTTAGATCTCTTTCTCTCTCTTCTTCAGTTTAGTATTAGTCAACAGAGATAGACTGATGTCGCAACCCTGATTCGAACTTGCAGTGCCTCTGCCGTGTCACAAGGATGATGATGCGTGAAGTGTAACGAAACCTCTAATAGTCTAGCTGCGTAAACCACTAAAGAGTCTGTAAGAGTTTGTGCTAGTAAGTAAGTCCTGCTGCGGAGTCCTTTAGCAATAATATCGGGGTCTGACGTATGGAGTATAGGGCTCTGGGTAACTGAAGTATTCAAGTAGGGTAACTGGGAATAGAGTCGTCAAGGCAGTTTGCCTCACCAATGGGTTAGATTGATGCTTAGATTGATCACTGAAGTAGAGACTGTCTATCTATGAAATGCCTGGGAGTCCTGTCCCTTATATACCCATCTCTCCTTCACTGATCGATTGATTGATTGATTGAAATTTAACGTCTCATCACGTGAGACGTGCCGGGCGCAGTGCCGGCATGGTCTGTGCTAGTCGAATCTATGTTACAGGGGACTGTCTTCATCTAACATTCCTGTTCAGTGCGATGGGCAGATCTCAGTAAAGAAATTGGTCTCCTCCGCCCATTGGCAAAACAAACGAGCTCCCTTGGCCGTGCCTAGGAGGGAATCTATACTATTCTTGGCCATATGCGCTTTTAGATGACCGGGCGTGGCCTTGCGGTCGCGCTTGCAAAAGTAGAAGTGGACTGGTGTCTTTGTCTTTCCACACCCGCAGTTGAGCAGTGCGTCGCGATGCTGGAGTCTCTCGTGGTAGGTCACGAAATCCCCGTGGTGCGACCTCGCTGCGAGTAATCTGCCTAGGTGTTGCCGGGGCAGGCCAAGTTCGGGGGGGTCGCGGGTGGATAGCGATCCCTAGATCTCGATACTGTTGAGGGCAGGTAGTGGCCCATCGATCGTTGAAGCTCTTCCAAGTGTAGGATCTCGCGATTCTCTTTATATGTGCGAATGAGGCCGGGTGTTGTGTCTTGGGTGGTTGCTCACAGGCCGCTTTGGCCTGGACATCTGCTTCTTCGTTTCCGGGGATGCCTACGTGTCCTGGGCACCACCAGATATACACTTATCCCGGGGATGTCCAGGGTTTTCGCTCTCTCTGTGACCAGGTTTTGGACAGCTCTTGGAAGGCGGTGAACTTTGCTTGACTGCTTCCGGGACTTGGACCGATGAGCCTACCCGCAACCGCGAGATTATCGAGGCAGATGTGGACGTTATCTGCCATGCTGTTGGACGGAAGCTTTACAGCCTCCTGAAGCCCCCGTAGTGCTGCGTGGGCTTCCGCATCGTATACCTCTATCTGAGAGCCCAGTAGTTCGGACCCGCTCCTTCACTGATCCCCACTTGGATATGTTGGTTGTCCAACATATCCGCCCCTGTAGGTCACGTGACCTATCGGTCCTTTCCTTCCTCCGATGCGGGGTCCCGTGATCCTAGCGTCTGTATCCACCTGGCCTGCCGACGGGCCTGTAATGTTGGTTCAGGGCCAACGGTTCGTAACATGAAGATGGAGGACTTGTTACACGCAAAGGTGGTCAAAGATTTGTGAGGTTGTAAAAGCATGACATTCTATCTAGTCCTATGGAGCACGAAGGTTGGACTTAGTCCCGAAGGGCTGAGTCACGTGGTAACCTTGGTGGTCTTGGCAAAGCCCACCAAGGTTGCCTAACAGGACTCGTGTCCTACTCTGCCTCTGTGCCTCTTAAAGAAGAGAAAATAAACTTTCTCCTAGCCCCGTAACCTATTTCCCTGATGTCCGGCCTTACCCCGTTACAATATATAGTTGTTAGATCAAAGAGCTTATAAAGTATTATATTAACTATGTAACGAACCCCGAGTTCTTTATTGCATTTAAAGCTATGTTACATACGACTTTTAGTGAAAATAACGTTTAGGCTAGATTCATAGAGTCTATTTTAGTACCTTATAATCTAGATACGGTTAACGTGATCCACAAGTCATTTTCGCACACAAGTCACTTTCGCACTTTTTCAAATATTTCAACCTTTTAACTTAGCTTGCACTTTTCTTCCCTCCCACAACATGCCTCGTAAATCCAAAGAAGCCGATCTTCAGCTAGCTATCCAAGCTAAAAAGCGCAACCCTGAAATTTCATGGTGTAAGCTTGGCCGTATCTGTGAAGGTCAACCCTCGCAGACTCACTACAACCAGGTGACTTACAGCTGGAACACCTGCCATGGCAGTGCCAGATGGGAAGCCAATCATAACCCTTGTAGGAGCCCCGCCAAGCGTGGACGACTTAGTCGCGCTCCCTCAAACCTAAGTGGTGATCTTCTTTCCTTCGCTCCTTAGAGTAGAATCTTCGTCGATAGCACCTAATCGAGGTCTCTACCAATGCGATGCAACCCAGGTCGTGACAATACGAAAAGGTAGGGGGGCCCCACTGGTTAGGTGAATCCCATTCAATTAGATACTATAACGTTGCGCACTGCTGCATTATAGCATCCTCCCCCCTAGGTGCACGCATCAGCATCAAACCCATATTGAGAAACAGGATTTCTTAGCTGGGTTTTTAGAAGCTTTCATTGGTGCTTTTCACGAAAAAAACATCAGATCAGGATTCGAAGCAGCTGGACTTGTTCCTTTTAACCCGGATAGGGTCATATCTACGTTGGATATCGCAAAAGTAGTACGAACACCGACACCCGACTGTTACGAACCGTTGGCCCTGAACCAACATTACAGGCCCGTTGGCAGGCCAGGTGGATACAGACGCTAGGGTCACGGGACCCAGCATCGGAGGAAGGAAAGGACCGATAGGTCACGTGACCTACAGGGGTGGATATGTTGGACAGCCAACATATCCAAATGATATCAATCTAAGCAGGGATCGCTATCCACCCGCGACCCCCCGAACTTGGCCTGCCCCGGCAACACCTAGGCAGTCCTCTTGTAAAGCGCCGGCAGACCGGTATAAGGCGCTGTGGTATTTGCGGAGGGACTAGACATAATGCAAGGACTTGTTCAATAGAAGTAGAAACTGATAATAAAGAAGATTTTGAGTAATTTAAAGGATAAAATGCGGGTTATGCATAGGATATTACTGAATTACTTGAAGGTGCCAAGAAAAGTGCGAAAGTGATTTGTGTGCGAAAATGACTTGTGGATCACGTTATATATAATAATAGTCGAACATGATGTAACTTTTACGTAGGATAGTACAATAGACAAATAAAAACTTCAATATATTACTTAGGTTGAAAATGCAAGCATTTACATTCAAATAAATTGTGTGATAAGCTAATGCTTATGTATCTGTATGTCTATGCATTAGAGCTGTGGTACGCTGCCGGTCTAACAGTGAACGGTTGATCATTAGGCTTATATACCCGTAATGATGCCGAAGCCTGGAACCAACCGGCTCTTCCATCAACGTAGGTACTATGCCGAACCAACTCGCTGCCGCATATCGGGGTATTATGTTAGTTTCATCCATGTTCACCTGGTCCATTCTTCGTCCCTCTAACCATCATCATTCGCCAACGTCTAGAACTTTTGATTTTCCTTCCCTTGGGTACACGCCCTGCTTCATGCAGTAGCCAACTGTCCCCGGTCGTGTCATAACGCATGTGTCTGCAAAGCAAAACAATTGAGAACTCCATAGTACACCTCTCATGCCACTTCGCTGTACAGCCGAAAGGCAAACCCAGAATCAAAACTCGACAGCCCTGAGCCATGCACGCAATGCAACCAAAGCAAGAAAAATAAGCCACTCGTTTCTTCATTCCTCATCAAGGTCGGATGCCACGGGGAGAGTCGGAAGGCTGAGAAGCTTGTTCAACTCAACCTTGAGGCTGCCAAAATCGACTGGGAAGGGGGGAGAAGGCGGCCTGAAGACTTGAGTTTGAGGAGCTATTATGGTGTGCGTTGAGACCGCTGAAGCCAATGACGCCTCGATCGCATTCGCCGCCTGCACACTCCCGACCTTGGCTGGTTGGTTGACCACAAGAAACTTCCCTAACGCCAAATCCCCCAAAGTCTCTGCCGCATCTCTCTCAGCGGAGGTCAGTTGAGAAAAATGGGGAGACGACGTGCCCTGTAGGTCTGATGCGGGGGAATTATCAGTTGGGGAACTGATAGTTTCCGCTGTTACAGGGCCACGGATGTTTTTCTCGGGTGGGGGTTCGATCGCATCCTCAGTGTCCTATTGTAGATCAACCGTCAGAATGAAAATGGAACGTGTTGATTCCAAAATTGCATCTCCTGCCGAATCACAAAGGACATACCTGAGCCACAGCCAAAGTCGGCGAGTCATTCTGAGGACTCTAGACTATCGACTCGCCCGCCTGCTGGTGTGAAGCGTGAACCTCGGATTCATACGGTGATTTGAACTGTGGTACCCAGGTTCTGACAACTCGCGGCACGCCAGCCCCGCTAGGTTGAACCACCTCCTCCTGCCAGTTTAGCAAATCCCACGAGTCGACGATGGCGTGGCGTCTGGGCGAAGAGAGCCTATGCTGGATCTCTTTGTAGTCGGGCACTCTTCCTTGGCGAATAGCCTCAACGGCACGAAGGCGGCGGGCTTCACGTTCGGCAACAACTCCGGTCACCGCATGGTAACGATCCTGGGCCGTGTTCCACCCAGAAATCCCGTTGCTTTCCGAGGTCAGAACGTAACGCATGTCGTCAAAAGGGAGGTTGAGAAGGATTCGCGAGAGCTGCGGCGAGCACTTCGCCCGTTCACGAGGCGGAGCTGAGTCGTCTTCAGGGAACGCCGTGGGTAGATCACCAAACTTGATGCTGGAGAGTCGGATTGGCTTGCCGGCCTTGTGGCGAACTGAGGTACCTCGAGCAATTGCCGGGGCCATTTTCTCATCGGGTGACGGGTTTGAAGCCGGGATAGGCGGGAAGCGAACCATTTTGCTTGTGTTGACGACGGACGTATCAAGCTCAAAGTCGGGGGGGAAAGAGTTGATCAGCCAATTCGACATGCAGGCCATGAACCACCTAACCTCCGGGCCGTAGTGAAATTCTATGTCTACCATCTCGTCCCCGTCCTGATCAATATGATCGGCGTAACGACCCCTGGCGCCATCCCAGACAAAGGCCATGCCCTCCTCGATGGTGTTCCAATTAATCATGTTGGAAGCAATCTGTAGACCTCTGACAAGGACATCCTTCATCAGCAGCACGTGGCCGGCGGCGGCGTAGGCAAGGCAAAACTTGAATTGATCCATGTTGTCTCCAGCCAAGTCCATACCGCCGGTACCGTTCGCCGCTCGAGGATCCGTCAGAAGCGGGTGCAGATAGAGGCGTTGGACCGCCATATACCAGGCGTCGGATCTGATGTAAGAGTCGTACACATTGACCATAATGGCGTTGTCAATCTTGTCGAGGCCGTGGGATCTCATGTGTATGATGCAGTCTCTCAGGAATGGGCTCCGCGCGAACATTAGCTTGTGTCCACGAAGCCTAGCCGGGGGGTGACTGCCGTCGACGTAGTGCAGCTCAAGCGTGGAGTCGGCTAGTTCTGCCGAGTCAAATTGGCCTTGGAGGTATGAAATGCTGTCCATCAACTCATCATCCAACAAGCTCGGGCGGCGTGCGAAATGCTGCGGATTCATGAAGGGCTGGAAGTTGTTCATCTGGCTGGGCTGGTGGCCGTGGCCTGGGTAATGCTGTCCATTGGAGGGGGGGAAGTTAGCATGTCCGCTCTCTCCGCGCTCACCCGACGCATGGGAACCGTGGTAGCTGTGCGGTGTAGGAGGGCCGTGTCGGCTCATATTAGGAGGATAGCCATCGAACGGCATTGGCATCTGTGGAGTCGGAACAGGCGCAGGAATCTGTCCATAACCGTCCATGCTGGTTGCGGGAAACATGTCCGACCGAAACGGGGTAGGGATGGTGCCATTACTGTCGGTGTGCGCATGGCCGTTGATGCGAGCGTTCATGGGCGCAGGCGGCATAAAACCACCCGACGGGGGAGGTGCCGGAGACGGCGTGTGAGAGTCGAAGCCCCCGCCGCCAAAAACAATATTATTGCCGACTCGGTTGGGGAGCATCTGACCGTGGTGGGTAGCATGGAGGTTGGGATGCTCGTGCATGTACTGCGCATGGCCGTTGGGTGGGTTGAGGGGAGGCACGAAATCGGTTGGCGGGTGAGCGGGAATGGTGGCCGATTGGGGTTGCGAAGTCGGGGCCGACGTCACTTGGGAAGTTTGGTCGTGGTCTGCAATGAGATACAACAGTGAGCTCTCCCGCCTTGTACGATGGGTACCAAAGTTGGTATTGCCATTACCTTGCTGCGACTCGTTAAATGAGGCCGAACCGACGGTGGATTCGACGTCGCCAACGAGGGACGGGGCGTTAGAAGCCTGAGTCGATGCTGCTGGGCGCTGTTCGGAGCCGTTTGCGATGCCGTTGACACCGTTGCCATGGCTGTGGCCATTTAGACGTCGGGTTTCGTTGTCGTACGTATACTGCTGATTCTGTTTGTTGTTGCTGTTATTGTGGGTGCTGTCGTGACCGTGGCCGTGGCCGTTCGCCATGGTTGGTGATCCGGGCTTCTCCACACGTGTGCCGTTAACCTCATTCGCCGTCTTTCTCGCGGCCGTCTGTTTCTTGGGCATTTCGGCGGACTGATGGTCAATCAGAGCGGCCTCCAGAGAAGCGACAGGTTGGGGGCCATTGGAAGAGACGACGAGAGGTCCGGTTCGGGTGGTTGGCTGCTTGCTGCTGACTTGACGTTGCGAGTAAGAGAGAGGAAGGGCAGGCACCACCGTAGGACGACCGGCAGGTGCAGCAGGGCGGGTTGGCTGCTTCTTCGGTTGCTGCTGCTGCTGCTTTGCATTGCCGGTCGCAGTCGTCAGCTTGCTGGCCTGACCACCCTTTTGGGGCGCCATTATGGGTGGTGGTGGTGATGCAGTCCGCACTTGTGTCGTTTCGCTGGCGTCGGCGTTTTCGAGGTGGTGAGGGTTTCGGCTGGTCAAGGCACGGTGAGCGAGAGAAAAATGAGCCGACGAGCTGTGGAGACAGACGCCCAACCCGCTTGCAGCGCCAGGTGGGGGGCAAAGGCAGAGACTCTAGCCAGAGCTCGCGTTTACGAGGATACAGACCACCACCATGCCCAATGGCAATGATGAGACTGGAATAGGTGATAGTGGGTGAGATGACAAGGAGTTATTGGTTTGTGGTACAAGTTGCTCCAGGTCAACGGGCTGGTTTGAAGGCGAAAGGAGGAAGGATGGATTTGACTGATGAGTTGAAGGTCAACCAAAAAAGGCAGGGATCCTGCTTCAGCCTTGGCCAATTACGCACTGGGGCGTTGGCGTCGAAAGTGTGTGCAAGGACCTGTAGACAATCTCTTGGCGTGCGCAAAGTCCGTTCAAATCCAGCGCCGGGATCCTTTTGGCTTTTTCTGCTTTGCTTCCGCTGCTAGTGTAAAGGCGATGCAGTGTTGTTGAGGTGATGACAGTCCGCATCAGTGTATCATCTGCCGCATGCGTCACACATTGAGCAACAGCAATGTCGATAAGAACAGCTGCCACTCGGTGAGGTGAGACTTCAAAATTGCTCTAGAGCCGCACTGCGGGCACGGAGGCTGAATGACACAGGTTTGAGGAATTTTTTTTTTGGTTTTCCCCGCAATTAAGACGACACCCCTGTTAACGTCCGTTTGCAAGCTCCTGACGTCTATTTTTCTATTTTGATTGCAAATCAACCTCGTACGAAGGACAAAAATTTTCGCATTCGGCAGAAAGATGTTCCGACCGTGCGGTCGTGAGACCTTGAACTCGAACCGTGCTTAATACCAAAATAACTTCGTCTTCGCACCTCTCACGAAGGATTAAAGCTTGGCAAGCGCCTAGTCTAACCTATCTCTGAAGCTTTACATGTGCGTTCGCAGGAGGGCACAAGCTACAGCTCGGTTCACTGCCCAAAAGCAATTGACATTGGCTTTTTAAAACACGTTTGTGCCTTCCAAGGCCGGGAACCAAAGTGTCAGGCTGTCGGCAAACTTGTCGCATAACACGAACTATGACTATGCGCTCCACTAGTATCGACAACCAACAGCTCGCCAGATTAATCAACGCACCGTCTCTTTCTCTCTCGGTACTACTAGTTACCCATATGCTACTTTTCCAATCAGTCGTACTGACACAAGTCAGGTGGAGAATGAGATGGTCGTATTATCCTTATTAATTGTGCCTGCCAACTAGTGGTGTTGGAAGAGACTCTGGGCTTAGTCAAAGACACATCCTCTCGCTAGCAAATATAGGCTGATAGAGGGAAGCGGAGGTCCACATTGGAAGACAACTACAAGCATACCAATTGCACATGATTCCGTCAAAGCTCAAGTTCCGAGTGGCTTCGTGCGAACGGACCGATCATCCGGGAACTTACCGTCAAAGTGGAGTGGATGGAGCTTGCCTTAATAGCCCTCTGTTGTTCCGTCGAAAGTCAGCTTGATACCTCAAGGTAGTTTAGACATGACTTCACCACCAAACTGTTGGTTTCATGCTTAATTCCGCTTCTTAGTTTTGCAGAATCCTCACAACCTTTGCTCACTTAGTCAAGTCGATATATACGATGGTTTCCATCTTTTGGGACACTGCTACACTTGTTCATAGCCTTATAGAAAGTCACGGTCATTTTATAGCTTTTTCCATGCACGATGCTCGGAATTCTAATATTCACGGCCCTTCCATCCACCTCCCGCCTCCAAAAATCCGGCAACCGAGCATCCATACCGGCCCCACCACCGTGCCACCAATACTACCTCCACAACCCATTCGTGCTGATCTATTTTAGTGCCTTCCTTCCTTGCCTCAGTTTGCCTTAGCGACTCCCCCGGAGTAAGTCTTTCTTTGCATTTCGGAGTATTTTCACCCCTTAAGCTAGAAGGCTTAGTGTGTATGTTGATCGTCAGCTTTCTATTACTTTTGTGTGAAATTTATTACATGTAACGCACCTTACGGTCCAATTGAAAACTTTGCTGTATTTCCGTACAACCTAGGTTTCGTCCCTTATTTTCCACCTTTTACTAGAGTACATAATTAGGAAGAAAGCGATATTCAATTTGCGCTTTAAAGCGCTTTAGAATAACCCCTAGTTAAGCGTACGATCCGTAGTATAGATATATAATATCCCCTATATAAACTTAGGTTAATCGGTAAAAGATTATATTCTACTAGAACTTATACTGATCCAGAGAATAATGTACAGAGAGTTGTTACTGACTTAGATACAAACAAAACCAAAAAAGAAGTTTTTGCATTACCATCTTATAAACTTGTGGATAGTTTTATCGATGAAAAAATTAATGACAATACTTTTACAAGATATAATTCTAAAACTAATTCATCTGTTACTATCAGGGATAATAAAATAGTTAGATCATGTATATCAACAAAATTACCTTTAATCACTCTAACTCTGTCAGAGAACAGAATGCCATAGGCACCAGTGGGTGTCAGGACACTGAACGCAAGACACCGGTGGGGCGCCGGAGGGGTGTTTCGGACAAAAGACTCCCGAGTCATGATTACAATCTATGTGAAGCTTTGGGATGACGAGAGTCAAGATCCTTGGCATCGCCGACCCTGCTGTTATGCCGGGTCCAAGCGGCGGCCTAGCTATCTATATAAGGACCATCTCGAAGTAGGATAGGGAAGGAGCAGAGATCAATGCATCACCGTGGGCACCCCTACCTGAGACCGCCAGTGACCACCCGGTGCTACGTAGGAGGGACGCCCGTTACTCCCCATCACTCTGTACTATTGCCTTCGGCCTAGCCGTACCCTGACAAACTCCCCCAAAGAATCATCATAACACTTTCAATAAAAATATTGGGTCATTTGACTTAGAAACATATTTAAATACAAAAACAGGAAAGTATGAAGTGTATGCCGTTGGTTTTGCTTATGGTGGTAACGGTGTTAAACCACGTTAACCTATCACCGAGTCGCGCACTTTTTCAACTTTTCCAACCTTTTGACTTCAACACTTATTTCCTCAACAACAACACCATGTCAGTTCAAACCCAAGGAGCCAAAATCAACCTTGCCATCGAAGCTATCCGATCGACCAAAATATGATCCAACGTCGAGCAGAAAAGCTATACGGTGTACCCCAGTCCTCACTCCGTGACAGAATCCACGGTCGCACCCCACGTACCGAAATCTGGCCGAATAGCGCACTACTCGCCAAGATAGAGGAAAGAGCTATTTTTCAGCATGTACTTGACCTAGATTTGAGAGGGTTTCCTCCCCGGCTAGAGGGTGTGGAAGATATGGCCAATTCCATTCTTGCGACGCGAGGTACCCGACGCGTCGGCAAGCTCTGGGCGCATCGCTTTACCCCAGAGTTACAGACGCGTTTTTCTCGCTCGTATGACTTCCAGAGGGTCCTCTGCGAGGATCCAAAGATTATCGAGGACTGGTTCCGGCTTGTATCGAATATGAGGGCCAAATACGGGATCCAGGACTGCGATATGTGGAACTTCGACGAGACGGGCTTTATGATGGGCGTTATTCAACGCTCGATGGTCGTTACCTCGTCTGAACGTAATGGTAGAGGCAAGAAGGTCCAGCCAGGTAACCGGGAATGGGCCACGGCGATTACCTGTGTCAATTCGGAGGGTCGCGACATCCCGCCATTTCTGGTAATTCAAGGGAACTATCACCTTGCTAATTGGTATACTGAGGGGGACCTACCAGCCGATTGGGTAGTAAAACCGACCGAAAACGGGTGAACGAACAACGAGACTGGTCTAGACTGGATCAAACATGTCAACAAGCACACTATCTCGACCAAAAGAGGCGTGTATCGGCTGTTAGTATTGGACGGGCATGAGAGTCATACATCGGCCGATTTCGAGTCTTATTGCAAGTCTAACGGCATTATTACTATCAGTCTGCCCCCACACTCGTCTCATCTAACCCAGCCACTTGATGTCGGGTGCTTTGGGGTCTTGAAACGTATATACGGTCGAGAGATTGATATATTTATCAAGTCCCATATTAACCACATTACTAAGGTCGAGTTCTTTATCGCCTTTAAGGAGGCTTATTTAAAGACAATAACCGACAAAAACATCAAGGCAGGGTTTCGAGGGGCCGGCCTAGTCCCCCACGACCCTGAAGCCGTTATCTCGAAGCTGGATGTTAGGATTCGGTCGCCTACACCCGTTAGCCCCTCTCTTCTATATGCTGACCATTGGGTTTCGCAAACGCCAAATAACCCGACAGAGGCTCTCTCGCAGTCCGATTTTGTCAATCGCCGAATCGCCAGACATCAGGGAAGCTCTCCGACCCCAATTTTGATGCTGTTGGCCACCTTATGAAGGGTATAACTCGATTAGCCCATGAGAATACCCTCTTGAAGGCTGAGTGCTCCACCCTTCGCAAGGCAAATGAGGCACTAAGCAAGCGTCGGAGGGCAAAAAAATCGCGTGTCCGGCAAGGAGGTGCACTTACTGTCGAGGATGCCCTGGACATTTTGGCCCGGAAGGACGCGGAGGCCCAGGTAAAGGAGGACAAGCGCTCTAGGGGGGTGAAGAAAAGGCTGGTCCGTCGACTGTACGACGATGTAGTAAGTGTAGGAAGACCGGACATAATGTAGAGACTTGTCAGGTCGAACTATAATTGTCAGATGTATATAGCTCTGAATAATTTCAATAAACTTTAGTCTGTTGTGGCTTTTTAATTGAACTTGAAATTATAGTGTGGTAAAAAGTGCGCGACTCGGTGATATGCGCGACTCGGTGTTAAACCACGTTACTAATATTACGACGGTACTTCACAATAGGATATACGATTGGTAATATAAAAGCTTACTACTTCCGAAGATACCTTCTTCCTACCAAAGTTACCTAGCGTCTCCTTACGGTCATACCCGGAGATCTAGTATCCGACTTTTGCCTAAACTAACCGAGCGGGCGTACTGAAGACTTGAATTGATCCTTCAGGCAATTCTTTCCTACCCGGTAAACACGCACAAGAGTTCTTCTGCTATTCTCTGTGGATTCGTACCTC